AGCAAGATCAACCATGATCGGACGGATGGCTATGTCTTCAGTCTGCACCGCCTCTCCAATGTCAACCTGAATAGAGATGTAAGTGAAACCAAATGAGCCCCATGGATGATGCAGTATTGTTTGATCTAAAACACTGTTTACTCTGTGCTTTTAGTCTTTTACATTGAAAATTATGTTTTTTAATTCACAAAAAACTGTTCTGTAATGATTACAGAACAGTTTTTTTGTGAATTAAAAAACATAATTTTTGGTGAAAATACTGGAGTAGCCTTGCTACTTGTCAGACAACGGAAAACTTTGAACGTTGTATAATTTCTCTACTTTAGCAAAGAGTAGCAGTTTAAACGGAGGAAAGTATAGGACGCGGCGCGCCTTTCTCTGAAGAACTACTGAGCGGGAGGAGACAGCCAGGTGAGGAAAAGCTGTTCTTATCTATCGATTCAGTATTTTTATCATACAGACATTAGGCTGTTGTTCTTGTGCTATGAGCTAGCTGCTAGCTAATGACTTTGCTAGCAAAGCAAGATAACTAAAAAGCTTCCCTGTGTCGTTAATGATAGTAGGACATTCTTCAGTATTACTTATGCAGTAGGGGCACATCGCCCGTCAAAAACCTATCATCTCCATAATGGATATATGTCCGATTTTCTCATTTCCTTTGCTGCATGATGTACATTTCATTTATTCTAGCGTTAGGTAAATGTATCTTGAAGGAGAACTCATCCAGAACTACCATGATAGATATATGATAGATATAATGTATGAAGCTGGTGAAAACAAAACTGCGCAGCTTATGCAAGGAGGATCGGTTGTCAGACCTTCTTTTGTTGGCAATCGAGAAGGATGTGCCAATCATTCACAGTGAGGTTATTAACATTTTTAAAGACATGGCTAACAGAAAACTGCTGCTGTGAACAAAAGAGAACAAAAATAGCAAAAATGCTTAAAAGTTGGAAATTTGTTTTTAAACAGTTAAATCACCATGACGGAAAATAAGTTTTTGGATCATAATCTTGGATTTAGTTTGGGGGAAAAAGAAAGGCAAGAGACTGAAATAAATAAGACATTGACCTTCACTCAACACAGAAAAGATGAGACAATGAGGAAAAAAAGAAAAGAGAAACTGACAAGAAAAAACGAAGGGGAAAGATTGAAGAAAATGTATATAGGTACTTACAAAATACACTGAGACACAAACAGAGTAGGCTTTTCTCATGGTGACATGCATTAATAAAATGTTTGTTTTGTTCTTTTTTTTCTGCAGTTCCACGTTAAAGTTTGATGCAGCAGCTCTGCTTTTCTGAATGGACCGTCTCCATCTCCACTGTCAGTACAGCAAACCAGGCAGACATTCTTTTTTATAGATTACAGTACACTAAAAGGTTGCATTGTGCCCTTGTATGCATTTTTAACAGTTTAATTCTGTAAAGACAAAATATGTCTGGTGGTCCAGCTCTGATTTACATCTTTGGCTAAATTGCAGGTTTGAATATTGTAATACTTTCCTATAAGAAAATAGACCTGCAGAAAGAAATTACTAATAAAATATTTTACATATGCATAGTTCTATGTTCTATGTAGAGATTTCCCTTAGCTTTGATTGTATGTCTCACAATTTTGTAATTTATCATTGTTCATTAAACTCTGAAAGCTATGTGACTTTGTTAATATTCTGTCCTAAAATGCGATAAGATGTGCCCTTTTTTTTTTTTTGAGCACCTGCCCCTTTAGTGGTCTCTGCACGGCCCTGCTCAATGGTAACACCTGGTTACGTTTGTAAGCCCCGCCGCTGGCTGTTGCATGTTGAATCAAGTTCAAGGAATTTCCCTGACTGGCAGAAGTTCTTGTTTATGTTGCTGAACATTGAACAGACTTCTGCTGCTATATGGCCTCATTAGGTTAAACTTTAGATTTTGTTTCTGTTGTTTTTCTTCCTCAGCTGTATGGAGTGAATTTTGTTCCATTATTGTTGCAAGCAAGGAACATGTTTTGTAGATTAAAAAAACAAACAAAAAAACGAAAAGCCAGAAATGAAATTTTGAAAAAAAAATTTAATTGTATTTTTTTGCTGTTTTCTCGGATATTGTTTCTTTTTTCCTAAAAAAAAATATTTTTTCATAGTTTTTTTTCTAATGTAAAGATTTCATAATTTAAAATTCTACATTTTTTAGGGTTAGGGTTACTACTTTTTTAGGGTTAGGAAAAAACTTTTTTTCAGTTCTCTTTCAAGGATATATATATATATATAGGACATATTTGTTTTTCTTGTTCAGTTTTTTTTTTATTGAGTTGATCTGTGAAATGCCATTTCTAATAAAAAAAAATTATTTGTAAATGAAATTGAAATTGAAAAAAAGAAATTTGGAAAAGTTAAATATGAAAAATAAATGAAAAACCAAAAAGTGAGGAACGGCAAAGTTAGTCTCGAAACCTATTTCTTTTTTAATCAAAACCTTTTTCAAAGTTTTATTTCTAAATTGCATTTTTTTTTTCTTTGTAAAATATGTTTACAACGATATTGTTCTCAGAGTCTTTCTGCATCTGTTAGCCCGCAGTGGTTCTGAACTAAGATCTCTCCCGTGGCGGTCACTCTAACCTGTGTCTCCCGTCGCTGCGTGTCTGAAAATCGTTTCTTTCTGGTTTAGCATTAATGATGTCAGCAGTGTGGCAGAAATCAGGAAACCAAACATTCGAGAGCAACATTGAAGGGAGCCATGTAGCCAAGGCAACGCAAAGCAAGTTTATTTCTATAGCAAAATTCAGTACATGGACAATTCAAAGTGCTTTGCATGAATTAGATAATAAAATAGAAGAAACATAAAAGTAAAATAAAGACAAAAACATTTGTAAAACAGATCAAATAACTGGACCACAAATACGCAGAATAAAAGTAACAGTTTGACTTCAACAGTGAAAGTAAAAGGTAGTTCTAAGAAAATGGCTTCAAAGAACTCAGGCTTTCAGATCTTTTCCAGTTTTCTGGAAATTGATTCCAGATCAGTGGAGCATAGATGCAGCTTCCCCGTGTTTGGTTCTAGTTCTAGGTGGACAGAGTGGGCTGGAACTACAAGACCTGAGTGCTCTGGGAGGTAGATCCACTAACAGATCTGTTATAGATTGAGGTGCTGATCGATTCGGTGATTTCTAGACTAACAGAAGGATTTTATATTCTATTCTCTGAGCTACAGGGAGCAGGTGTAAGGACTTCAGATGCTGATGTGCTCTACTTTCTAATTCTAGTGAGAACACCTACAGCAGCATTTTAGATCAGCTGCAGCTGCCTGATGGACTTTTTAAGCAAACATTGAAGACGCTGATTCTACCAAAGATAAATGCATGAAGGAGTTTTCTAGATCCTGCTGGACGTTAGTCCTTTAATCCTGGAGATGTTCTTCAGGTGATAAAAGGCTGACTTAGTAACGGCCTTTATGAGCTTCTGAAGGTTCAGGTCTGAGTCCATCATTTAACCAAGGTTTCAGCCATAATCAGTGCTTTCTAGCTGCAGTAGCTGAAGCTGGGAGCTCCTTTGGTCCGAAGGTTTTTTCTTCAGTTTGTTTTTATTCAGTTGTAGAAAATGATGGTGCATCCACATATTGATCTGTCCTAAGCATCTAACCAGCGCTCTGATTGGTTCATCGTCACCTGGTGACATTGGGATGTAAAGCTGTGATTCATCTACATAGTCATGATAACTGATCTTGGGGAGCCATGTGATTTTTCTGGTCCCTGCTGACACATATAAGTCCCTGTCCTTTAGGTGGGATTTTAAACCAGTCCAGTGCTGTACCAGAAAGGCCTACCCAGTTTTCCAGATGCTCTAATAAAATCCAGTGATTGACAGCATTCAGTGTTTCACTGAGGTCCACTAATACCAGCACTGTGGTTCTTAAAGAGTCTGGAGTTTATATGGATGTGATTGAATACCTTAATCAGGGCAGTCACTGTATGGTGGTTGCCATGGAAACCTGACTGGAAGGCATCAAAACAGCTGACCATTGTAAAAAGGCATTTCATTGTGGAAACAAAACTTTTTTCAATAATCTCAATGTTGAAAGGGAGATTAGAGACGGGCCTGTAGTTTTGAAGGACCAATTTGTCCAAGCTTATCTTTTTCAGCAATGGCTTGATAATTGCTGTTTTTAAGGCTCGGAGGAAAACACCCCACATGAGGGATGTGTTTATAGTTGGAATAAAATCAGACTTTAAAATACAAAAACTTTCTTAATAAAACCTGTAGGTACAACATCAAGAGAGCAGAAAGAGGAGCTGAGCTGCTGAACAATAAACGTGCAGTTTATTGGGCAGAATTTGGACAGCTGCAGTACTGGAATTCATGTTGATGTGCAGACTGCAGAAAATCACAGTTTCTTTCAAATAAAGATACTTTTTCACATTTCACAGTTTTTTATTGACCAAAAACATGAACATTACATCACATTAAAGAGGACAGTATTCCAAAGTATTTCACAGAAACAAGCCTGAAACTGCTGTAGTACAGTTAAGGCCGTAAGTAAGTAGTACAACAGAAAGGACCATCAGTTTCAAACAAACTGTTGTTTAAATTAACAACAATGAATAAAGACAAAAGTAAACAATAAATGGAAAAACATCTACTATATAAATATCCATTCAGAGAATCATTGTAGGTCCAAACATTCAGAATACATGGCAGACTGACATCACCATGGTAACAATTCACATGCACACAGGAAACAAACACCAGTTCCTTCTCAGTCTTACACGCAATGCTGCAGGTGCATCTTGGGAAATGTAGTACTAAGAGAGGGTTCTTAGTTTTCCTACAATTTTATTCTCACTCCCACTTTGTCAACAATTAAAACTTTCACAGTCTTATTTTATTCCTATCTGTTTAAATCTAACTAAAGAAATAGTATTTAATTAAAAATAGAAACGAGTTTTAAGTCAAATTTTTTGTATTTATAAGATTATTTAAACATGTATGACCTTGACGAGGTTCTTTTGAAATTGAGTCGTATTAATTTTTAATAATTTCTAAATTTTATCTAATGACCTTCCTGTCCAGCTCATATATTTTGATTCATATTTAAACTCAAACTTTTAGTTTAAACCAAATTACGGGATTTGAGTACCTTAGATATAAAAAAAAGCAAGTATTTTAATCATAAAACTGCACTGAGAAAACTGTCTGCCTCGACTGAAGAAGTTGTACAGTTTCAAATAAATGCAATGAGGATGTAATGTTTGTATTCAACGCACTTTGTTTACAGACAAACCTTAACCTTCAGTCCCTACAGAGGAATAAATAGTTAGTGATTAACAGGAGCTGAGGTTGGTCAGACCTGGGTTTGTCAATGGTTGATCTATCTCAGTCACTTCGGATATTATCATCCCAGTATACGGCCATTATTAGCGGTTGTGGCTCCTACATCCCAGTAGGCTCAGTAGGTTGTTATCACTGAATAAAACATAAACCTAACTCTGAGGTAATTCCATTTTTATCCGGAGAATTAACTAATTTATTTGAGTGTAATCTGAACATGATTTTAGTAGTTCTTAATCTATTGAAAAAAAAAAAAAAAAGAAGTTGACTGGCATGCCGCTCACAAAAAAATCACATATCCTATAAACTAAGTTGTTTTTTTATAGACCACATTAAATCTGTGTGACTTAAACATGTAGAATTCACTCAAAGTAAAGCTTTACAACACTTTTTAATAATGTAGGCTGTAAATAAAGTAGATAAAAAGCATAAAGTAGGTAAATAGAACTTGAAGGTTTTAGACGCTACCGAAGCGGCTGCTCGAAACGATTAGTTGCTTATTATCAGCCATGAGAAACCAACTAGAAGGTAGAGGAGACGCAGTCTGGAGCCATTCTATGGGACTGATAACAGCTAATAATGGCCATTTAATGCTTGTTTATCTCCTAATCCTTACCAAGGGTGAACCTTTAAACACACTCTCTTGTTGCAGCCTTTAAAACTTCTGCCACCTAAAAATTCCCTAGTACACTGACTGCAGGTAAAAGATACAAGCATTTCCATGACCTCTCTGACCATAAATTCAGTTGTTTTTGAAGGCAATTGACAGTACATAAAATCTGAACAGTATAAGAATGAAAGTTTGATCAAACTGATTCAATGAGAGACAAGCTGGGAGAAAGAATAAAACCATCTGATCCTGGCCCAAAGCGGTGACACACCTGAAACCTTTCCATATAATGAAAGATATTTGCAATATTATGTTTGTTAATACGGCTAGTTTATGATGTACTTATTGTTGGCCACTTCAGAATATTTCAGCAGTGTTTCTGTGTTTTAGGGGCTGTTTGATATGTTTGGAATCATTATCCTGCTGAAGGCAAACGTGGCGATACGGTGGCGTTCCGAGTATTGACGCACTTCCCGATCTCTAGAGATACAGTAAGCGCTGAGTGTCGCACACACGTAGACACGGTGCAAAGACTGAGTCAATGTCTCTTCTATTGATCTGGTTTAGGGTGACAATCTTTGATTGCTCCCAGCTTTTATTTAACACGTTTTATGTGAAGTGATGTCAAACCTAACTTTTTTTTCTTTGTTTTGGGTGTTATTGCAGTACACACAAAGGAAATAAACGTGTTTAAGAAAATACGTAATATTACAATACTTTTCTTGGAATGTTTTTCAGGTGTGCCATCACTATCTATCTATCTATCTATCTATCTATCTGTCTGTCTGTCTGTCTGTCTGTCTGTCTGTCTGTCTGTCTGTCTGTCTGTCTGTCTGTCTGTCTGTCTGTCTGTCTGTCTGTCTGTCTGTCTGTCTGTCTGAAGTGGTTCGGACTCCTCTTTCTAACCACTTCCTGTTTGGTCTGAGCCAAACTACTTCCTCTGACGACAAGGGCTCAGCTGGGTTAGAGTCGATGTTCTAAACGGGTTTTAACTGCAGAGTAACACATCTGAAGCGTCCTCCAATCAAACCTTCAATCGAAAGATTCTCGCACGACTGGAAAATCACCCCGAAAATCGCACAGTGTACGCCGGGCTTTAGAAAATAAGCTGTCCTGAGACCTAACTACCTAACTACACTTTGACCCTATCTAGCCTCTTGTTAAGACATCTAGCTGACCCTATCTTAAGCCTATACTTGGGGCTCTCACAGGGCGGGGCTACCAGCGGAACCAGTTAGGATCTAGAGATCTGAAGAATTGAAGCTGACCTGCTGAAAGGAACTCTTCCATTCGGCTTTCATTTTCACACTGAAGTCGACGAGTGAGGCGGGTCAAACAGGTAGGCCTGCCTTCAGTGGCAGCTCCGTTTTGATTGGAGCGTGCTTCACTAATGGCCCCTTGTTCCTTCGGTATACCCATGTCAAGAAGAGCGCCAGAAGGATGAACACAAACAGCAGCAGGGATCTGAAATGAGAAATACAATTAAAAACTAATTAGGTATAACTCATTTTCATGATGCCATCAAGCTGATTAAAACAAGCTTCAATTTATATATTCTACGTGTTTTTCTGTGAAGTCCTGTTTCTCTGTCTGTGACTAACTGTGCTCTCTTCATCCTTTGACATGGAAGCTTTCTCGGATGTATGCAGGTATACCATCATACGCAGGAATGGGGCATTGCAGGCTAACAAAGAAGCCGTCCGTCTGTTTCAATTTGCACATTTACTTAACAAAAACAAGGCTTCGTTGGGCTACTGCATAAAGCCTGGAGCTCGACACTAATTCCGACATTTTTAACTGAAAAAGCTTCCTGGATGGGAAGCGAAAAGTCTTCAAACTTGGAAACGAAGTCCAGTGGATTGTTTTTTAAACCTTTTTTGAAATGGCTATGACATTAATGAATGAGAATCTGAACTGCTGTTTGGGGCATAAGCACAAACAACACTCAAAACCCGTCCCCCCACACGTATGCAGAGGGAGGTAACCCTCTCGTTCACCGGGGTGAACCCCAACGTCCAGACACCAAGAATGCCTGCTCCTTCTTGGGGCCTCTCACCAGGGGCCCCTCCAGAGTGGAAGAATGTCCAGCCCCTCTCAAGGAGACTGGCTCAGGCTCCTTCCCCACCAGAGAGGTGACATTCCATGTCCCAAGAGCCAGCTTCTTCAGCCGAGGGTCAGAACTCCAGGGTCCCCGCCCTTGACTGCCACCCATCACACATTGCACCCGACCCCTTTGGCCCCTTCCTATAGGTGGTGAGCCCATTGGAAAGGGGACCCATGTTTCCTCTTCGGTCTGTGCCCGGCCGGGCTCCATGGGTAAAAGCCCAAGGCCACTAGGCGATTGCCAGCATGCCCCACCTCCAGGCCTGGCTCCAGAGTGGGGCCCCGGTGACCCGCGTCCGGGCGAGAGAACACTACGTCCATTTGTTGTATTCATCATAAGGGGTCTTTGAGCTGCTCTTTGTCTGGCCCCCCACGAAGGACCTGTCTGCCTTGAGTGACCCTACCAGGGGTCATAAAGCTCCCAGACAGCATAGCTCCTAAGATCATTGGGACACTCAAACCCCTCCACCACGATAAGGTGGCAGCCCAGTGAGGGGTCTGATACTGTTACCATTAATTATAAAACCAAGAAAATGAAGTATAGTGAAGTTCTCCTCCAGAATTGTACAAAAAAGTTCCTTTAATATGGTAGTGCTATAAAGCTTCTGTCCTTAACATTTTGTTTTTGCATTACCTTTAATTTTATACGTTTTAAAATGGTACTTTTACACTTTTAATTGAGTTAAAAGTTTAAATTGATCCTCTAACTTCTATAAAAGTGTCTTTAAACTGTAGGAATTCTACTTCTATTTGACTAATAAACATTAAAACTTTGCTGGAACCAGCATTAGAACAATGAAAAGGTTTTAGCCCACGCAGCAGGAATCAGTAGATCCAGGTTGTGTGGATGTCTGAGACTCTATAAGGCAGTTATCCTGTCTGAGCTTTTTTAATTGATTCGCTTATTGATCTCACAGTGGAGAAATTTACTCGTTACATCAGCTTAAATAGTCAAAGGAGAAGAATGTGCCAAAGGAAGAAAAAAAGTGCATAGGATATATGTACAGTATATACAGTACGTCCACACATGACAGCTTCTACTCAACCAAAGAATTGATACCATTGTGACTGATACTTACACAGAAACGGTCTTGATCACAATAGAGGTAGAAGGACCTAGGGCTGGAGGACATGGACGGTCAGTAGGAAACAATCTGATGAGAAGAAGCTCCAACTTTCTGCTAATGCTGAGTTTTACCTGGTAACTCAGTTGGCTGAGGCATCGCTGTGGGTCTCAGAAAGCAAACTGAGTTGGTGTAAGCAGTACACGGAACCAGAGTCTCTTTAAAAATAGCTGGGGGACAAAATAAATTACATTATGAAGCTACCAGAAGGCCAACAAAACATCAATGGGGCTTGTGAATATAACCTCAGCAGCACAATGCAGCTAGAGTACATGCAGCATAACCGTTTTGTTTAGTGGATGGATCGTATCAGTACGGCTTCTTTGTTCAGCTTAAAAGAACGAAACATGGAGCATAGTTGACAGAGCTACCAATGGATGCCTATAAGGCCAAAAAACACTACCTTTGAAAACAGCCTACTTTACGTCTTAGACATGCAGAAGTTTAAAGAAAAACTCCTGGGTGATATGCATGCAGGAGAAACACCTGCAGCCTCACAGGACGGAACGGTCAGGAGGCAGCCATGAATGAAACAGAGGTGAGTATAAAAGTGGAAGAAGATGAAGAGAAGGTGGGTCAGAAACGGAGAGCAGAAGATGGAAGAGCAGTTCCTAAATGTGATGGTCAAACAGGTCTTCCATGTTTTCCTGTCCTAACCTGTGACAGAGTGCTGTGCTCCAACATACATCTGCACCAGTACAGTTTTGAAAGTGTGAAATTTGTTCTATATGGAAAGCATTGGACATCGTTTTCCTTACATTAATAAATTATTTACAACTTGATGTGTCCTATTCTTTTTTATTAGTCTTCAAGTGATGCACGGAAATTAATAAAAATTCTCATTGAACAAATGGGAATAGAAATATGTAAATGATATGATATGTGAATCATTCAGGTGCAAAATTGTGCAATCAAATCACAGCACTACTGTGCAAAACGCTGGAGATCGGATGTAAATATCGCAGAGACTCGAACAGAGTCAAAAAAGCAAAATGCCACAAGATGTAAAACTCAAACAGAAGTATGTTGGGACTGAGTTAAAATGTGGTTCTGTAGCTTTAAGAAAAAAGTAGGTTGCATAAAAAATGGTTTTTAAACTGCAGCTTCCACTTTAAAGAAGGAGCAGCAACATGTAAGCTGGACTCAGCAATGGCAGCCATGCAGCTGCAGTATGCAGACTCTCCCGGACCAGTGGAAAAGATAATTACCCTGAGGTTCATTTAGATAACCTGACTCCGCCAGATGGATTTACTCCTCATATCCATCTGGAAACCTTCCATTGAAGTAATTTTGGGAAGGGGCGAAAATACTGGTTAGCTGATTGGCCTATGTTGGTGATAGACGGGCCAAACAAACCAATCAGATCAACGAAGCATATGACGTACTAACAGAGCGACGACGAAGAGGAGCCAATTGATAGATCAAACTCTTGCCGAAACCAGTCGGGAGAAGAGCAAAAACATCTTTTCCTCTGAGAAAAGCCTCCAGAGCAGTGTTTTGCTCTTCTTTCAGTGAAGAAATACTCTGTAATTCCGATAAAACTTGCTCGATAGCCACGCTAACGCTAGTTTCATCGGCTGAAGCCGCCATGTTCTTTAGACTGAACTGTCGCGCTTCTCGTTGCGCCACACCTCAACCCGCCTCAAAGCCAATGCTGATTGGACGTTCATTTGGTGAACGGCTCAAATTTTTCTTTAACGGAGAGTCTCCAGACTGATCTGCGAGTGAAACCTTGAAAGCTCGCGAGATCAGGATGGTCTCACGAGGCTATCATTTAGATGCTAAGAGAGCAAAACCTAAAAGAAAAGATTTATACCAAAACATGAAGCTAAGTTTATGGTAAATAAAACAGAAGTTGAGGTTGAGCCTGCTGTGAAATGAGTCTGAAACATATGCTGCTGTGCTGTTTATATATTTTAACACAATGACCAACTGAAGACTAATATGTGAAAAAAACTAAAATCATTACATTGATGTAATAAATTCTGCAAGGTCCAACAACATAACCTCCAATGGACTTCTCTAAGTACCACTGATTTATCTTAATTTTCATTTGGTTCCCACTGCAAAAAACATCTAGAAATAAGTAAAAAATGTCTTAAATTAAAGCTACAGTGTGTAATAATTACAGGGATATAAAGTCAGAAATTTAATATATTATACATAACTATGTTATTTATCATCACCTATGAGCTCAGCCATTTAACCATAATATTTGCGTTGCCTTAGAATTCGTTATTTATAATTACATAGGAGCGGGTCTCGCAGCCATGGAGGCTGACATCTTTGTGCTACGGCAAGCGCAGAGGCAACAAACTAGCGATTGCGAGATCGCCCATTACGCTCGAAAATAACTACGGCAAGTTGAGAGAGATTAACTGAGACGGTACTGAACAGTAGATGGCAGTACTATGCCTGAGAAGCGTTTAGTCTGCCTGAAACCAAAGAAGAAGAAGAAGCAGGTATACTGCGCCTCAGTAACAAGAAAGGTGAACAAGGCGGCAGGCGTGAGTGACTTTGCAAACTGTTTGGCACTGTGTGGCCAAACATCAGACGAATGGAGGATCATGCCTACTCTGTATCACAACGAAAAGCGGCGGGCACCGAACCCCCGTCATCTAAGAAGCGGAAACACGACGAGAATAAACGCAAGCGTGACAAGAAACGACAAAAAACACGGATCAACATTGGCACGGCATTTCCACGATGGAAGTCACTGATGGAGGAAAAAGGTTTTCAAAGTGACGCTCAAGTTGCCAGTTTTCTCTTGGACAGGTAATTAATCCTACACACACAATTGTCTAATATCACTGCAGTTTTTGGAGTACAGGATGCTCAGACCTGTCTAAAACAATAACATGCTGCGTGATGATGCTGTTACTCTCCAGTATACTTATTCAGCAACGTCCCTGACGTTTCACAGGTAATGATTCAGTAATTTTCTGTAAAATAATTTTCTGGATATATACCTCGGTTACTTCTCTCCGGCTCCTTTGGAGATCTTCAAGCCTTTCTTCCTCTGCTCTCACCCCGCTGGCACCCCTCTCTCGCCTGGCCCTAGCTGCACGCCCTCGCCCTCTTCCTCTCCCTCTTCCTCGCCTTGTAACCCCCGTGCCACAAACAAGACTTGGACTCTGTAAACGGGGAATATATATTCTTCCAGCGAACACAATCTTGCTGTTAAACTAATGACTACAATTACTTCGTCTGTTTATATCACCATGCAAAGCAGCTCACCAAAACGTCACAACGATGTAGAAAAAATAACGGGTATATTTATTATCTTAAGTCTACATGAAATCTATACCCTACACAGACTAATGAAATACTATCTGTAAAATTATCTATGTAAACAAACCTCATCACTTGAGAAGGTAGGTGATTCCGACGTCGTGGAAGACATTTTGTCCCGTAACGCTTGCCGTACTGTTGGGGGGGAGAAGCGGTGGGGGGGAGACGTTCATTTTGCTGCAGTCTGCAGTCTGGACGTTAGATGTCGCTGAAAATTACACACTGTAGCTTTAAGTGTATTTACGCCTAATTTGAGCAGGTAAATAAGATGATCTGCCAATGGAATGAGTATTTTTACTCCTGAAATAAGATAATTAGATAATATACACTTGAAATAAGGAAAGCAGTTGTTTTTTTCTTATTTCAAATATAAATTGTCTTGTTGCATTGGCAAAGTGTCCCATTTACCTCCTCAATTCAAGAAAAAATGCACTTAATTTGAGCAAAAATTACTTATTTAGATTTCCATTTTTTGCTGTGAATCCACACTGGAAAAACGACCTAGAAATAAGTAAAAAGTTCTTAAATTAAGTGTATTTAACCTTTAATTTGAGTAGGTAAATGAGATCATTTGCCAATGGAATTAGTATTTTTACTCTTAAAATTAGATATTTAGATAAAAGGCACTTGGAATAAGTCAATGCAATTGTGTTTTCTTATTTTAAGTGTAAATTGTCTTGTTCGATTGGCAAATGTCTCATTTATCTCCTCAATTCAAGAACAAATTCACTTATTTTAAGAAAAAATGACTTATCTAGATTTCCATTTTTTCCAGTGCAGGACTTGCTCTTCTCATGGTCCATTGCTTCATATCTTTGCTCAAGCCGGCGTGTGGTTTAAATTGGTCGCACCAACCTAAAATGCAATGTGTCGTGACGTCTGTTCACAAGCCCTAGTCTTACTTTAGCCAATCACGTGCACTGGAAAAAATCTAAATCTAGATAAGTATTTTTTTCTTAAAATAAGTGCATTTGTTCTTGGATTGAGGAGGTAAAAGAAGGCACATTTGGCCAATGGAACAAGACAATTTACACTTAAAATAAGAAAACACAATTGCATTGTCTTATTTCAAGTGCATCTAATTTTCTTATTTTAAGAGTAAAATACTAATTCTATTGGCAAACAATCTCATTTACCTACTCTAATTAAGGTTAAATACGCTTAATTTAAGAAATTTTTACTTTTTTCTAGATTGTTTTTCCAGTGTGGCACCCTTTCTCTAACTGGGTCTCATTGACAGGCTGGTTCTGTGCTGAGAGCCAGAGCAGAACCAGAAATAAGCCCGATGGGTCTAGTTCAGAAATAGATGCTTTTACCTGTGCAGTTAGTACATGGAGCACATTTCGTTGCTTGTCCAATCCCGATGACTGAGCAGTTTCTGGTCATGTAGTAACCTGCGGGGACCAACACAGAGTCTCCATCATCACCACCATCATCACCACCATCAGCTTCATCGTTAGTTTAGCGGATTCTGTTTTACCTTCTTCACAAAGTTGACACTCTGCTCCTACTAATTGAGCATGACTGGGGTCAAGCGACATCGCCATGACAAAGGTAAAGCTCAGCTGGAAATAGGCAAACAGGTGGTTAGACCCAAATGTCTAAATAGATCCAGCCTGTCAAAGCCAGTCAGTCAGAGTCAGCCGGTTACAACCTGCCTGGCATTTTACTTTTATCTGTAAAGTTTAGAAACAGTTCACTTCTGAATATCTGCATTGTATTTCCTGATCCCTTGCAACCAAACCTGCAGTTACTTGAACCCTGCATACCTAGGCAGCCCAACCCCTCCTGCACAGACTTTTAAACAACTAACATGCCTCAACTCACACTTTCAACCTTACATAAGCTCATAAACCCATGACAACCCTATCAGAGCCGTAGAACAAGGTCTAGACTAGAGACCTCCATTTGTGTGACTGTCACCTTCCCATTTGTTCTGGATTTAAATCTGGATCTTTCAAAGTTGCTGAAATCTAGATCTTTTAAAGTTGCTAAAATCTGAGTCTTTTAAAGTTGCTAAAATAAAATTACACTGCAGAACAAGGTGCCAAATACCAGGTATCAACACTGAACACTGATAAATAAATAATCATAATTCAAGATCAGACCCACTAACCTGCAGTTTGTTCATCTTGAGACGAAGAATCAGCGAAGTAGTACTGAGAGGCATAACTGTAATCCGACTCTTTTATGCTCTCTCACACGAGGAGGGAAACCCTGGTCACTCCCACTGAGGGCTAAATGGGTGTGACCAAGGATTCCCAGGAAACCTGTTAAAGATTGTTCATCTTGTTGCTTCTAATTGCTTTGTTTGTTTAGTTTTTGCTGTGTTCGATCTTTCTTCCCCGATTCTTCTCAGATTGTTAAGATGCCATTAAGATAAAAGCCATAAGAAACTAAGTAGATTATTTTCATGTAGGTGTGTAGGTGAAACTCATGCATAACAGGAAATTATATCATATTCTTAATCTATGTAAGGCAGCAAACAAAATCATCAAATTGATCCCGTCAAAAGCATTCACTCCTTAATAAAATAATTGGAGTCTTGGTTTAGTCGTGGTTTTATTTATTTATTTTTTTTTTTTTTTTTTTATTTATTTTTTTTTAGTCGTGGTTTTAAATAAACACAGATACTTTTAATCATTTGGGGAATTCGTTTATTGTTAAAGGTAACTTTAGAACAATTTCCTGATGGTCATTTAATTTAGAGACATTAAACGGATGTAAAGATGTGATTTTTCCTAACATCTCTCATTTACTGTTCGGATCTGTAGAAAGAAACTGGGCTCATCTATTAACATCGCACATATTTGTCTATAACTAAACAATAAACCATTTAGAACAGAAGAAAACTGAATATTCAAAGGAAAATTCCTCCATCATAAATATGTACTTCAAAGCGGTGCTCATCATGTAACTGTTGACCCAAATGTTGAGGTGGAGAATTGAAACTATAATGTTTAACGTGGCATAGAGCAGTAGGTCAGCTCAGTCCATTATCATTAGGCAATACTAGGCAATTGCCTAGGGTCCCAAGTTCTTGGGGGCCCCATTAAACTCCTTTTACACGAATTGTTATTAAAGCTTTTACTTAGGTCCACGCGAAGTCAAACCCTGGCCTAAACGCATACATTTTTCACCAAACCAGCCTCTCATCCATACGAAGCCGGCGTTTCGGGGGTCTGTAAGCGATCTTTTTTTTATTAAGCCTTCAGAGTGGGAAGATTTTGAAACGCCGTTTTCGCGTTTCCATCTTTAAGCTCTAACCGCATTTTTTTTCTTACATGCATGCGTCATAGCGTCGCCTCTAAACACGCATGCGCGACACAGTATCACAACAACAATGGCGCCGTACTGTGTTGATTGGTTGCTGCTCATGCTACTCACCCTGCTGTCGGGCTTACAACAGAATCTTCTTCTTCTGGAATATCTCCAGGAAGAACAGAGCAATATCGACCACATAGTTCAGCACCTGAATTTGACTGAACCACGAAAATGGACCCGCAGGGCCATTTTCCGGTTTTCCGGTTTGGTTGTTGTATGAATATTACTGCGCATGCCCAACATTTCGTTTCCTGTTTTCGCCTATTTTTGCTTCGGCACCACAGCGCCACTTACAGGCCTTGCATACATTTTGCAGCGTTTTCATGCATTCGTGTGGTCGATCACATTTATTTTATGTCTCCGTCTTTAAGACAAACGTTCTGGAAAATATTAGCGTTTCGTGTTCGTTTTGACTTCGTGTGGACGGGGCCTTAATGTGAACATTATGTTTTTGATAAAAATACTTAAGTTAAAATGCCATCAGAACTAATGTAATATTAAATGTGTCTCAGTCCATTTGCTGCACATCTGCAGAGAGGTCCAAACAAGCAGCAGCCAACCATCTGAAATCCAGAGGTGGAAAAAGTACTAAAATATCATACTCAAGTAAAAGTACCAATACTTGGATGAAATATTACTCAAGTACAAGTAAAATTACCCATCAGAAAAATTACTCAAGTAAAAGTACTCGTACTCGTCGTCTCCCGCTTTATCCGGAACCGGGTCGCGGGGGCAGCAGACTAAGCAGAGACTCCCAGACTTCCCTCTTTCCGCTGACACCTCCTCCAGCTCTATTGGGGGAAGCCCTAGGCGCTCCCAGGCCAGCCGAGAGACATAGTCTCTCCAGCGTGTCCTGGGTCGTCCCCTGGGCCTCCTCCCGGTGGGACGTGCCTGGAACACCTCCGAAGAAGATGTCCGAGCCACCTCAACTGACTCCTCTCGATACACCGGTCTGTCGTGGTGAAGAGAGAGCTGAGCGAAAAAGCAAAGCTCTCAATTTACCGGTCGGTCTACGTTCCTACCCTCACCTATGGTCATGAAATTTGGATCATGACCGAAAGAACGAGATCCCGGATACAAGCGGCTGAAATGAGCTTCCTCCGCAGGGTGGCTGGGCTCTCCCTTAGAGATAGGGGGAGGAGCTCGGTCATTCGGGAGAGGCTCAGTGTAGAGCCGGTTCTCCTCCACATCGAGAGGAGTCAGTTCAAAGGAAAAGCAGCAAGAAAAGTGACAAGAAGAGAGGGACAAAATGTAAAACAAATAATGGATGTCTATTCTAAAAAAACACTGTTTTATGTGTTGTCTTCTTAATTCAGAGGGCCCCATGCCTGTCTCTGCCTAGGGCACCCAATTTCCTAAATCTGCCCCTGAGCTCAGTGTACGTGGTTTGGCTTGTTTGGGGGACGGGAATGTTTTGCCATGGCGCTTCTGTGGTTAACCGGCCATCTGGACTCTTATTGGTGGCCTTAAAGCCTTGTTTTGGCTTAGTAAACACTCAGCTGGTGCACGACCCTCTTCCAAGCTGGTGGGTTATCGTCGGCCTCAGCAGATGGCCGCTCACACTGAACTTTGTTCTGCTCGAGGTTCCTTCCTGTTCAAAAGGAGGTTTTCCTCTCCACTGTCGCTACAAGCTAACCAAGTTATTTTGCCAAGGGGCGAAAATACTGGTTAGCTGATTGGCCTATGTTGGTGATAGACGGGCCAAATAAAACAATCAGATCAACGAAGCATATGACGTACTAACAGAGAGACGACGAAGAGGAGCCAATTGATAGATCAAACTCTTGCTGAAACCAGTCGGGAGAAGAGCAAAAACATCTTTTCCTCTGAGAAAAGCCTCCAGAGCAGTGTTTTGCTCTTCTTTCAGTGAAGAAATACTCTGTAATTCCGATAAAACTTGCTCGATAGCCACGCTAACGCTAGTTTCATCGGCTGAAGCCTCCATGTTCTTTAGACTGAACTGTCGCGCTTCTCGTTGTGTCACACCTCAACCCGCCTCAAAGCCAACGCTGATTGGACGTTCGTTTGGTGAACGGCTCCAAATTTTCTTTAACGGAGAGTCTCCAGACTGATTAGCGAGTGAAACCTTGAAAGCTTGCGAGATCAGGATGGTCTCACGAGGCTAGCTACTAGCATGCTTAGTGTGAGAAATTGCCTTCAAGTCAATAGGTCGATGCAATCAACTGGTTTTCCTTAGATAGAAAACTTTGAATCAATTTTACTGGATGATCTCGTGAACTGGAAAGTGCCTTGTGATGACATGTGTTGTGAATGGCGCTATAGAAATAAGCTGCATTAAATTGACTATAAAGAAAATCTTAACTTCAGAACTTTGAATGTTTGAAAAACAATGAGAAGAATGTGCATTTCTATCGTTGGACGATGTATTTTAAGAAAATACTTAAAATGGTTACTATTCAAAAGCATAGTGATGAACAGGGGTGATGAATTTGGCTTAGAAATACAGCCCTGGGGATGACTTGAGAAAGTGGGTGAAGGTTTGTGTATGTGTGTGTAAATATATGTGGGTGTGTAAATAGGTATATATTATTTATATATATATGCAGGTAGATGCATATGTATATATATATGGGTGCTGTTGAAGATTCTCATTCATCCAGGTCAAAGTCATTCCAAAAAACTTCCAAGTTTGAAGACTTTTCGCTTCCCATCCAGGAACTTTTTGTCAGGTCTAAGCACCTAAAATATCATACATACATACAGGGAAAGAAAGAAGGCACAGAGACAATTAATTTAGTTTTACTCGCGAGGAGAGTAGGAAGAGACTGCAGAGTTTACAAATCTCCAACCCATTCTGCAGTCCCAGCGTTCTCCTCGCTATTTATTGGAAATCAGGGGTCCCTGGTTACAACAGCTGAGACTGCTCTAGAGATGAGAAACAACATGAGAAATTCAGACTTGCAGTCTCAGTAAACATCCTATAAATTTCAGGGTTCAGTCAAAGTTTAAGCGGTTGAAGCTGTTCACCAAAGTTCAGCAGGTCGAGTGCTGCCCGTAGATCAACCACAACCTCCCCAAAAGCAAATCTACAAATCACAGT